CCTGCTGAGGTTCTTACTGAGCAATGCGGTGATGTCTAAGTGAACTTGGGCTTTCAGCCTCAGTCCAATGGCACTCCTTTTCCCCTGGTGCAGTGCCTTGTCACTGTCCTGTTGTAGAGGTCTTCATTCCTCTTGGTGCAAGATCCATGGTTATGACAAGCTCTGCAGAGGAGACTTGACATGTGATACATTGTGAAATCTCAGAGTTTCTAAGAGCAGCCCTCTATGTGCGAGTGAGAAGTAAGGGTGAAAGTGTTTTGGAATTTGTTGATTTATAGTTTCACAGTTTTGTATTTGAAATGCTGCATACACTTCTATGTAATAACTTCAGTAATGCTTTTCTCTTTGCAGGCTGTGATAGTAGTGTACGGATTCTACCACCCACACTTACTAAATGAACAGATTCAGGAGTCTGCAAATCCAGATTTCTATAAACACCATATCTTAAAGATTATCCTTCGAGGACCAGGTTTATGCTTTTTAGCAGCCATCTTTTCTTTTTTCTTTATTCCTTTGGTAAGTTCTTCCAGTTAACGGAAAACTTTGATGCAGCAGTTTCTATTGATTGTATTCACTTCTGTATATTAAAATAAAAATGCCTATCTCAATTACATAGACTTTCTCTGTTGGCAGTTCTGTGGTGGTGTAATCATCGCTGCTGATTTGCACTGGAGGTGATCAGTTCAGATACCAGTTGATAATTTGCTCCATGACTTTGGAGAGCTTTGAAAGAATATTGTGCTACATTTGCTTTACTTGCTCTGTGTGATTTTTCTTTAATGCTTGTCTTGATTAGAAGCAGGTCTACTAAGTTGTATTTTTGCATCTTGCTCATCATAACTAGGTGAGATAATGGGGAAGGTTACATGAAATAAACACCTTGCACTAACTAAAGACAAGTGAATATAATTGCTGCAGTAACTCAGGGTGTAAGACCAAATAGAATAAGCAGAGCAGTTAGCCAACCTACATTTCAAAACATGTTTTTGGTTAAGGCCTGCTCTTACACAGCATTTTTGTCTGCCATCTTAATTGAATGGCAGTGAGTTGCTCCTACTTACTAATATTTACCTTTCTCAGAACCCCTACTTGCAACTGAAGTCAAGTTTTTTGTATGTATCCTCAGCTTCCTTTCTGCTGTCTTGTTCTTTAGGAAAAAATGGATTTAAGTGAATTTTGAGAGAGAGAATATGAGAATTAGCAGTTTTTAAATAATCCCCAAATTTGGGAAGAATCAGGTTGCTGTTGATAAAAGGAACAGTTATGAGTCCAAACGTGGAAAGGTCTGAGTATAACTGGAAATATGTTTACTCTTACACTCTTACTTCCCTCTTCTCCCTTGCTTTGTTCAGTAGTGTATTTTCTTTTAATAGTAATAACAGTGACATTATTCTCCAAGTTACTTTCGTTCTTAGACCTGTGCAAAGCCTGTGAACAGCTTATGACCTGCTGAGTTGTCTTTGGGACACAAGTAGGAGATCCATAGAATATATTAAGTCCCCTTATGTCTCAAGGGACATGTAAGGATCATTTGGGATAGCTCTCCAGCTTCCAAAGAAGTCACTACATCAGAATTATTTCCCTCCTTGTTTTAGCTTGCTTCATTTTTGGTACTAAATTAACTATCAAAAAGCAGCACATGCAATAAATATTCAGGAGGTGCATATGCAACTCAGGTCAGCTTTTCCCTTATCATAAAGTCAAGGTTTGTTTTCTCAATGTGATTATACATTGGTAGTTTCATATTAAACTTGGAACATAGTGTAGTTTTTGATAACTGAATTTAAACTGTGTTCATGTTCCTTTCCACAGTCCTACCTATTCCTTGGGCTTGTAATTGTTTTTCCGTATCTCACTCGATTCATTACACGGTGTAAAACCAAGATTGTTGGTAAGTAACAATATTCATAGACATATGTTCAGATTTGTTACTAGGTTGTCAATATGTTATTCAGACAGCCTGAAATGAAGTAATTTTAGTCCTACTTCCATCTTCCATCTTGAAACTTAGTGATTTGGGGGTTTATTGTCCTGTTTCCAAGCAGTTTCTCCCTCACTAGTTGGTTTCCATTATTTTGTGACTAGGTGTGTGTAAGGCACCACACATTCAGAGATCATTTCTGAGTGCAAAACATCTGGTTTGTCATGAATATGCATGTGCATGCACACATATACGAGTACATAAATGCTGCCTGCAGGCTGTCTATCCTTTTTCCCTGTTAAAAAAGGAGAATGTGGACTGAAGAACATAGGAAGCAAGCTCTGTGCCTGTGGCACTTTCTTCCCAGCAATACTGTAGGGCTCTGTATTTTCAAACCGTCAAGCAGAGCACCTATAAATGAGACTTTGTCAGGGGAATTAACTGTTTACAGTTGTTACATCTCATTACTCTCAACTGCTGTGGTCTAAAGGTGTGCCTTCACAAACTAAAGTCAGCCTAAACCTGTGTTTCCTTACCTCATGCTCCCTGCCTGTGGTCTTTCTGCCCCCTTGGCATCAGCACTGACAATTACACAACCACCAGCCAGAGCTGCTTCTGAGCTCAGCTAAGAAGGTGGTTGCCAGTGCCAAAATAAAGGGCAAGGTGGGCCATCCTTCTTTGAGAGCAATATAAACTGACCACAGAAACACTGAACAGATAGTGTCTTTGGAATTGGCAGTCCCCAAGTGAGCCAGAACAGTAATGCTTTTTTTTCTTCTGCTGCTGCTGTTCAGCCTAGTACAAGTCTGTCTGTGTATGCTGCAAAAGGGAGTGTACTTTTGTCTCCCCTGTGTGTAAGCAACAAGAGACAGCAAGGCAGAAATGCTCTGAAACAGCTAAAGCTAGACTTTCAGAGCCAGAGAATTTACACATACAAATATTGCCTGTGCCTGCTGTGAGGGGCAGGCTGTGGTTTGCAGTCAGGTCACATCTGTGTATGTCTCATTCCCCCAAATGGCTAACATAAATGACTGCTCTATTGGCTGTGTTGTGATTATATTTGCTTTACATTGAGTTCCCTTCTTGCTTCCTTAGGAAACTGACAGGTTTTCCTTTGTACAGTCTACACTCCTGAAGTGGTGCAACTTGGCCAGCTGGGCAGTTCAGCATCCAGTCTTTAGGGACGTGTTTCACATTTTCTGTAAAAGATTCAGGGTCCCAGTTTTTCATAAAAGACTGGATTTGTTTGAAAGCTGGCCATCTGGTGTCCTGGTGGAACCCTGGTGCTCCAGTGTTTCCTCCCATGCGGTGTAAGTTCTCCACAGTGTCTTAGACAACTTAGAGCTGCTGGGGCTTTGAGGAACAACATCTGATTTGCAGTTTTGAGTCACTATTCACTTGGTGGAAATAGTCTGCCATACAGTTTAAAGAATGGCTCTTTTGTCCCTAAAGCACTTGTTGTCCTGGAAACAACAGGAATTTCAGGCAGAGCCAGAACTGCTGAAAAAAGCAGAGTGACTGACCTGTGAGGATGAATGACACCCTTCTTTCTACAGAAAGATTTTGGAATGTGGGGGGAAAGAGAAAGAGAGGTCACAGTAGGTTTTTAACTGACTTGTTTTATACTACCTGATTTTGTCTTTCATTATTAAACATCTAGATTTGTTTCCAGGTCAGAGAGAGGAAGAGGAGGAACACCATCGCTTAGAAACCTTCAATTTTTACCTCAGTGAGCCTCTGAGTAAGGAACGGGTAGAGGCATTTAGTGATGGAGTCTATGCTATTGTAGCAACCCTGCTCATTTTGGATATATGGTAAGGCTTTCTGTTGCCTCTTACACTTTTTGTTGTTAAAGACAGTATTATTAACATTTGTCTGTACGTGATATTCAAGGAAATAAAATTAACCAAAAATTCACTTCTGAAACCTCCAGTTGTGATTTTCTGGAAAGATCCAGAACATGAACCAATATATCTATAATGTCCACATTTCAGCTATAGTGGTCATCAGTCTAGTTAATGGATGCTGATTGGAGAGTCTTGAAGAACAAAGTTGCCTTTTTGCTTAGTCATGGTTTCAGAAAAGGCTTCTATCAAGAGAAGCTGTTCGGTCACTGTGGCAAGTTTATTACATTATCCTAAAGGAATGCCAGCTTACTTCCAGATTTCTTGCCAGATCTCCTTTGTTTGCAGAGCTATTTTTTAAAATGCTGGTTTAAAGTTACAAATTAAGAGAAGTACAAAGTGGATGTCTGTTACTCTCTTCTTGCTCAGAGTAAAGCAAGATAGTTCAGCATTGCTCCAGGTATGTTTTTGTAACAATAATATGACAAGTAAGTTTTCTTTCCACAGTGAAGACAATGTCCCTGATCCCAGAGAAGTAGAGAAGAAGTTCCATGGCAGCCTTCTTGAAGCTTTAAGTGAATATGGGCCAAACTACCTTGCCTACTTTGGCTCGTTCGTAACAATTGGTCTCCTGTGGTTTGTCCATCACTCACTTTTCCTTTATGTAACAAAAGCTACAAGATTAATGGGACTCTTTAACATACTTTCACTGGCTTTCATTGGTGGGCTGCCACTAGCTTACCAGCTGACCAGTGAATTTGCAGAGAAGTCCCACAATGAAATAGAAGCCATTCAGGTCAGCTGTGTTATCACTTTCTTTGCCAGCATTTTCCAGTTTGCAATATGGACTACAGCCCTCCTCCATGAAACGGAAACTTTGCATCCTTTTGCTAGATACGGTGGCAAGGAACATGCCTTCATGTTTGCCAAGCTGGCTCTCTACCCGTGTGTAAGCCTTGGGGTCTTCTTCCTCACATGCTTGTTAAGTGAATTTAGCACGGCAATTTTCCATCTGATGCAGATTGTAATCCCGTTTGCTTTTCTTGCCTTGCGCATTTTTGTTAGAATTTCCTTAACTGCCATAAAGTCTGTGATGTCTCTCTCCAGGCGGAAGGTTGTGTTGTTGGAAGAAGAGGAGGCATGCTTGTCTCCTACTGAAGCACTCTCCTGAATTTCCGTGCAGTGCATGTGAAGTTGTTAAATTAACTTCAGTTCTTCTAACTCACGTTATCTTCATGTGTGGATTATATGGTTCTAAACCAAGGCCTGCATTGGCCATAACTGGGGTATATTTAAGTTTTTGCTGGTCCTGCTTGAGCCCCTTTCTTCAAAACCTGTAACTGAAAAAACCTGGGTAAGTAGGGGATATGAAGAAGAGCATGTTCCCCTTCCTTTAGAGTTACCCTTTTAAAAACATGCTGCTTGACACATAATTGTGGTGGTGATCGCTTAAGTGCATAAAGAGATGTGCAGTAAAATGCCCTTTTTCTGACACAGGGCAGTTGTTCTGGCAGCCAAACACAGGTCTAGAAGCTGGTTGTGCAGCTGTTAAGATGAGGAGTGAGGCATGGAAGACATGGGACACCTCTGGACTTCTGGATAGTGCACTGTGCTAGATGGTTTCCCTAAGTAGAGGATCCCACAGATTTCTGAGTCTCAGGAAGGCAGCAAAAGAACCTAACCCTGCAGAAGTTCCATTTTGTGATGCTTATGCAGAGTTTGGTAAGCTTCATGCTTATGAAATGTTACCCTGCAGAGAGCTGCACAGGAGGAGTGGGCAAAGTGATCAAGCCTCAAAGGGTCCTGGAGGCCTTCACATTTCTTTTTGGCCGAGCCATTAGTTTGTCTCTTGAACTGTCGTAGTGCCTGATAACTTTAATGCCATATGTAAAGGCATTTGAGGGGATCTTTTTGTTCTTTAAAATAAATAAATAAATTCTGTGGTGAAGTATGCCTGGACTTAATTGTGAGTGAAAACAAATTCAGATAGCTTGTTTCAGTTGAGATCAGTCTTGAAAGCACATGGGCTTTCAGTGTGAAGCACTTTGGTACCAACAGGTCACTGTTGGTATCACACCCTTCTTGTGAGAGAGCATGTCCAGGTATTCCAGGGGCTTTGTGCCTGGTTGAGGTGAAATGACCTGCAGAAGGATTCTGTATTGTGCTGTGTATCACAGGGTTTTTCTGGTGTTTAATAAAAACACTTTTGGTTCTACATGGTTTCCTGAATGTGTGTATTTGTAATAAATATCAGTGTGAAAAGACAAAGCTTCTAGCCCTTTTCTGTTCTGCAGGTGAAATTTAAATCAGATACCTACAATTAAAATTATGTTGGACATACTTTTTTTTTTCCTTTAAAATCATCACTGTCATCCATTCTGTGATTTTTTTTTATTTTTTTATTTTTTTTGTGAAACATTTAAAAGCTTTTAATGTGGTGTAAAAAATGTTGATTCTGCTTGTGTTGGTACCGGAAGAAAATGAAACCTGATATGGAATCTGACTGGAATCATTCCAGTGGTTACAGGGATGGTAAGTAATTTATTCTGCAGAAAGAAGAATTTGTTTGTTTTCTGTTTTGTTTTTTTGTTTGGTTGGTTGGTTTTTTTGGTTGTAGTCAAGATACCCTTATTTAAACCAAATTTCATGGTATCTCAGAACCAAAACTTGAGATCCTGAGGTTTGCATAAACAGAGTTGGTTTAGGATCATTCTGTTACTTTTGGTACTATGAATCAGTGCATTTCAGAATGAGGGATTAATTTGAATTGTGTGATTCTCGAGTAGAAAGAACTTTCCCAAGCCTAACTGTAGTTAGCTGTTCTTTACAGAATTACTAATAACCACAAGTTTTTGTCTCTAGAAAAAATCCAAGTGAAATACTTCTAATGATTATGAATTTCCCAGAATCAAGGAATGGATGAGTTTGGAAGGGACCTCTGGAGACTGTCTGGTCCAAGCTTCCTGTTCAAAATAGCATTGGCTGGAGCTGGTGGCTAAGAATTGTATCAAGCACAGATGGACACACCACACCACTCAACACATCAAACTGTTTGAGTTGCCCTTAGAGTAAAAAAAATCAGGGTTCTTTAATTCTTCCATTTAAAAGGAATTTCCTGTGCTTCAGTCTGTCCCTGTTGCGTCTCATCCTATCACTGGGCAGCACTGAGAAGGGCCTATCTTGATCTCTGCTCCTCCCCATCAGGTATTCAGAAACATTGGCAAGATCCCTCTGATCCTTAAGCAGGCTGCTTAGTCCTGGCTCGCTCAGTCTCTCCGCTGAGAGGTGCCCCAGTCCCTGCATCATCCCCATCACCCTTCAGTGGACTCACCTTAGAATGTCCACATCTCTCCTGCGGTGGGGTAGGGAGGGCTGGACCCAGCACACCAGGTGTGCTCTCACCAGACACCTCCTTTGATCTGCCAGCAGCACTTCTCCTAAGTCCAGGAGGTTGCTGGCCTTCTGTGCTAGAAAAATAGTTTTTGTGACATAAAACCTCCTGAAAGTGATAAATTAAAACTTCTAATGGCACTGGAATTTTTTTAGCCTGTGGCACTGGTACTGCCCGTCAGGAACAGCTGCCTCCTGAACTGAATAGGTCATGTTGGACAGAATGTGGTCTTGCATGGGAGGGTATGTGAGAAGTCCATGGCCTCGGTCCTCAGCTGTGATTCTATACCGATGGCTGTTTTGTTTGTGTCCCCTCTGCCATCTACAGGAAACCATGCGGGCTGGAAAACTGTGGAAGTCTCCTGAAGGATGAGATTTTGGGTTGGAACCATCAGAACAGTGATGAGTGAACAGAGGGTCTTCATTGGCACGAGGAAAGTAACAGGCTCACCAGAGTGCTTTGCAGGGACAGGGATTTGTGTTTCATCACTACACACATCATAAATGGTTTACAACGGTTTTACATTTTATTTGAAAACAACTGAGCTGACAGAATCATAGGATGGTTTGGGTTGGAAGGGACCTTAAAGATCATCTAGTTCCAACCCCCCTGCATGGGCAGGGACCCCTCCCACCAGCCCAGGTTGCTCCAAGCCCCATCCAGCCTGGCCCTTGCACACTTGCAGGGCTGGGGCAGCCACAGCTTCCCCGGGCTGGCTGTGCCAAGGCCTCACCGCCCTCACCGCGACACATTTC